GAAACGTCAGTGTCTTTATTTGTAAGATGAATGAGTTAGATGGTGTGTTTTTTAAAGTATCCTTTCAGCTCTAAAATTCTAAGTCTAGACAGACCCTTGCTAAAAAAAAAAAAAAAAGAAAGTTCTTAAATTTACCATCTTGACACAATGGAACAAGTCAGCATTGAGCTCTGCACTTAAAATGCCAAAAGAAAACGTAGAAAGAATATTAATAAACAACCAAGGAGAAAGCAGAGCCAACAAAGATGGTAACACACACTCTGGGTTGACCAGACCATTCTTGATTTATGCCTGTTTCCCCAGTGTCCCAACCACTTAATACCTGTTTTCCCTAATAAAAGTGTATCAGTTTGGATGATAAATTATATGGTTAGCCCTATAAGGACTTGGAGTTAATTTTCTTGGGTAATCCTTTAGCATCTCCGATCACCTACAGGCAAAAGCCCCAAACTCTTTCGTGCGTTACGAAGATGCTGATCTCTTCGGTCAAAATGCCATCAGACATAACTGCTGTCTGCTAATCACAGCTGGCTACTCTCAGTTCCTCAGGGTGAGCACCCTTGCTCCTGCTGCTGCTCCCCACCCCACGGGATGGCAAGGTCTGCACATTCATCAAGACTAAGCCAGCTCGGCATTGCCCCCGTGGGAGGCCCTCCCTCCCCTGCACTCGGGATCACTCTGCCCCTACCGCTGCTAGCCCGTGGGCCCACCGCCCTGCAGCTCTTTCCCGGTCTCCTCTACTACACCACGAGCTCTGCAAAGGATGGCGTTTCTCTTACTCAACCTTTCCATCCCCTAGCACACAATTAGCACTCAGCAACACGTTTGATGAATTAAATAGAGAAGTCCATAATGGCTTGCTAGCACGATATTGGCCAAATTATCTTTCATCAGGGTGAACCAAAAAACAACGGACTTCGGCTCATCTGGCCCCACCGCTGTCATCACCACCAGTAACAGTCACTTGTATGGTATGCCCCTGGGATGGAAGGTCGTGATCTACTATAATCCTGCAGCTGAATTCCAGCTCTGCGGCTTACCAAAGTGATCCTGGGTGAGTTACATGCCCTATCTTAGCTCAGCTCCTCCAGAATGACATGGGAGAAAGACGGCTTTCCTTGGTGTAATGTTATAAACGGTGCATGGAGAGTAGTGCCAAGTACCGGCCCTGGCACAGGGAACGTAGGTAATAAGGGTGGTGATCATTTCCAGCCAGAACCCATCCAATAGAAAGAGGGTGTCTCCTCCCTCTTCCACAGAATAAGCCCCACCTGGATGTATATTGCTTTATGCCCCTCACTGTGTCCCAGGGCTCCGGTGCAAAAACCTGCACAGTCACTACTATTTTCTCTTTCTAAATCCTGGGTTTCCTCTTTTCTAATGATCCCCAACAGACGTGTCATCACAAGGAATAGAGCAGGAAAGGCAAGGACTCGCAAGTCAAGGCAGACTGTGGTCAAATAAGGAAGAACCTGACTGCCACTCCGGTTCAACTGTATAACGAACGCAAAAGGAATTCTTGGTAAAATGTCAAGTGGGGAGACTTCAAGCCTGGGGAAGGATTACATGACCTCATGCTGGGACAATAAACCCTCAACTTAACTCTACCTGTATCAAAACACTCACTCAATCATAAGCAGTCAGTTATGGTGCTGCAACTGCAAACAGTGGGAAAGGGCTGATAAAGTGCGAGTCCTGAGCGTAGTCATTGGAAACAAAAAGAGGGAAGGAATGCTCCCTTCAATCTCTCTCCTGCCCAGGAAACAAAGCACAGGCAGCTAGGCAGAATCAACAGAAACAAATGGGATCACAATGTCTCAACTTAATAGCAAGGCGCTGTTCAAACTTCATAACAGAACACAGCATGTGCTGACGATTGTTTTTATTACAGAGATACAGGATAGCCTGGATCTGAAAAACACTTGGGCCCTGGAAGGGAGAGTGCCTGACCTGAACTCCAGCTCCTGTACTTACCTAGCTGTGTGACCTTGCACAAGTTACCTAACTTCTCTGTGCCTACATTTTCACCTAGGAAAGATGAGGATAACAAATAGATAATGGTACCTCTACTGGTATTTACCAATACTAATTTCTATGGTAGAACAGTACTGAGCAAATGACTAATGCTACGTAAGAGTCTGACAAATAAAAATATTAAGACCCAGTACTCACGCAAAAGCAGCTTATATACAACCCCGTACTTAAGAACTGATACTGGGATTGTGATCATAAATCTCTTTATTATATGCTGACTCCTGGGAATTCACCTTGTTGACCAACAAATCCTTTTCCTGATCATGAGGACTGAACAGCCCTGAAACTCAGAGGTCACTCTGACGTGGTAAAATCGAAACTGAAGGTTCCCTACACACAATTAATCAAACTACAAATCACACCCCCCCAAATAAATGAAAGTAAGATAAACATATTATTGATTGAGCATCCATGTAGCTAGTCACTTTCCAACCTGTTGTATTTTGATTGAAAGGTAATGTGGAGAAAATGGACCACAAACCATTACAATCCCTGCCTATCATCACAAAGCTCACAATCTGGCAGGGAAGGTAGATATTCAAAATCAAACGTGAACCAAAAATCCCCCATTGTCAATAAACTGCTTTACAATAAGAAGAGCTCCTGGTGGTGGTTGCCAGAGGGACAGGGATGGCTGGGAGGGGGGCGAAGGGAGCTAATATATGGTGATGGAAGATGATCTGACTTTGGGTGGTGAGCACACAGTGCACTATACAGATTTTGTAACAGAAATCCACACCTGAAACCTAAATGATCCTATTAAGCAATGTGACCCCAGTAGATTTAATGAAGCCATTAAAAAGAAGAGAGAAGAGCTTCAAGTAGACTAGAAATCTTGTTCCTACAAGACCAACCCATCTCTTGCATGCAATCATGACTACAAAGAATTCAAGCAGCGGAGTACATTGGAGTGCACTGTATGAAAGGTATTAGGCGTCACCTTGACAAGTATTAGCTTAGGATTGTGAATCCCCTATTCAAGCTTGTAAGTACCCACCCTCATGCATTCTCCCATCCTTGCTGCTTCTCTCAAAAAGGCTACAGTCCATTTATTTAAACTCTCCGTCCTATGTTATAGTCACATACACATCTTTTCTCACAAAATTTCTTTACCTATCACCCATGTTCTAAAACTTCTTCCATTACCTACTGATAGAAATAATGCTATTTTTTCCAGAGGTAATTAGTTATCTGTATTCAATCTTTGCAGAGTCTATATAAAGTTTAAACCTCAGAAGGCAACATTATTTCTGTTATTTTCAATTTTGGGGTTGGTGTGCTAGGGTGGAAGGGGCATTTAAGGCAGGCGTACACAGAAACTGTTGCCTCATAAACCCTCAAAATAATTCTCACATAACCTGCAAAGCAACCCAATGAGACATAAAATTAACTTACATGAGTCTTTAAGCATACCGCATGCCAGAATTTGTTAGATATTACACAAAGGTCAAAATTAAAACGAGAGCCTGGCAGGTTCATACTCTAAGTTCAGTGGGCCTTTTCTGCTAGTGGTTCTATGAACTGTAAGCAGCAACGCTTGAGGTATAATAGAAAAAATGCCCCCTTAAGATGAGTTTCATCCATATCATGAAAAATATGTCCTTGTGGCACAGGTATGCTCAAGAGTTTTGGTGACAACATACAGGGAAACCATTTTTCTACTTCTGCTAAGCCTTGTTGGATGAAATAAGATAACCTCATAGCTGAGGGGTTGGGTCCACGGTGGGAATATTATCTGAGTCCAGTTAGCTACAGAGAGAGCTTTAGTCGTGTCAGCAACTCCAAGGTCTTGTCCTTGGCCTTAAGGTCTACGTGAGGGTCTCAATCAGGACACCCGGATATGATCTCTGCCATGCAACTGCCCTAATCAAAAATAAATGGGACGAATGCCTCAACCAGGATGGTAGTTTATTTAGTGATGATTAGGGCGCTATCTCTTTCTAGTGACTGAATTAATGTAACTCCTGGAGTTTCAGAGGAGCCATGCAATCCCAGGTTACATTCATTCAGCAGGGCTTCACAAGTTGGAGCAAAGAGCACTAAGGAACTTTCCACTGAATTTCCATGGGGAAAACTGAAATGCTAAAAGATATTTTTAAAAACGTGATCAAACATTATTCTGAATATAGTCTGTGAAGAAAATGTAATGCAGTAGAGTAGTTATTTAAACAAATTCTCACTGGGTGAACTTTTAAACGAGGCACTCTGAGCTCCAAAAGAAATGTTCTGTGTGTGTCCTTGTGGGTAAATCCCCAGGGGTCAGAAGAGGACCTGGAACTTAGCTGTTCTTTAATTTTCTGAGTACTTAAGTGAAGAAATAAATACATTCCTCCTGATCATTACCATGAATTTCTCATCCAGAAAAAACAATAGTTATTTAAAGGCAAAAGTTATTGGAGTGTACATAAGAGAAGAAAAACTTGCTCCTGGCCTTAAAATATAAATTAACTCCTACTACCACAAATAGAAAATGAATGGGGAAAAAACGTAAGTTTTCATAGAGATGAAGAATGCTATTAATTCAAATCCATTTTGTTTTTAGAAATAGACTCATAAGAGTAACTACATATGAAAGCATGTTCATATTATATAAAACACACTTTCTATCTGAAAATCTGTAATAGAGGCCACAAGGCAAAAATTCCACAACTGGGCTGTAAGAAAACCTGTCAAAAGCTGGAATTTTCAATACTTGATAGCCAAACTCATAGATGACATCTTTCATGTCATCTTTTATACTAAACCACTGAGACATGTATTTCCCTAAAGCAAATTCTGTAATTGTAGAAACACTGGTGTGCTGACTGTGCCACAGAGATCTGATAAAAAGTACTTCATCCCCTTATAATTCCTGCACATATACTGATGAATATTCGTACCATTGTTTACCACTATCATAAACTACTGTAGTTTATCCTAAGACATCAAGAATCTGTAGAGTAAGTTATAGTCAAGCCAAGACTTACCGAGCACAATGACCACAGTCTTCAGAAGACTCATCATAGTATCACGGTTCCGCCGGGGTCCAGAACTGTGCCGAGACATTCGCATAGTCCTCTGGCGAACATAGCCAAAAATATGAGCGTAGAGGACCACCATGACGACAAAGGTCACCAGGTTGAAAATGGCCCAGAAGACTAAGTAAGAGTCACTGTAGAGGGGCGCCATGTTGGAGCAATTTTCAATATCACAGATGCAATTCCAGCCCACGCTGGGTATGGCACCCATAACAATCGCCATGGTCCAGATGACCACAATCACCACCACCACCCTCCGATTGCTCATCCGTGTGTGCAGCTGCATGCGAAAAACCGTGATGTGCCTCTCGATGGCAATAGCCAGCAAATTGGCCACCGACGCCGTCAGGCTGGTGTCAATGAGGCCCTGACGAAGGAGCCACGTGCTGACAGTCAGTCTCCGAGTATTGGGTCCTGTGTTGAACATCAGGTAGAAGTAGGCCAGGCCAGCAAAGAAGTCCGCAGCGGCCAGGTTAGCCATTAAGTAATAAATAGGGAAATGGAAGCGGCGGTTGACATAGATGGCCACCATGACTAGCAGGTTGGCCAACATGATGAAGATACAGACGGTGATTCCAAGTCCCATCACCAGCTTGCTGACTGTGTTCCATTCTGTGGCAAGATACTTTCCACTTCGGTTATAAAAGAAGGCGATGGACTCATTGTAGAAGCACTGTGGTTCATTCATGGCTGTGAACTAAGGGAGAGAGGAAGAAAAATGAGAACAAAAGAGAAAAGAAACCACAGGTCCAAATTTAAAGACTATATAGATCACACAAGACTTCTATGATAAATGTTGCCAAAAAAAAAAAAAAGCAAAGAATTTGAAAATCTGACCCTGCAAAATATTCTATGATTATGTTGAAACCTCAAGGTTTCTCACTGTATTACTATCCTCAAGATTCTCAAGATTAAAGACAGTTGGAGTTAAATAAATGACAAGGTCTGTGCTTGGTGGTTGCATATCATTGAAGTCTACTAGAAAAGCCACAGGGCCAGAAACCTTGCTTAAAATACATGAGAAAGATGAGACTTCTGCAGAGCATTACAATTGGAATATTTACCATAGTGAAATCTACTTTGACCTGTTATTTAGGGAATCTGTAAACATAGTTGGTTTATAGATAGGGTGTTATTGCCCTATTATTCAGCATTTCTGTTCTCACATAGAATGTTCTGTCTGTGACAGACATTTTTAATGCAAGTCCCCACAAGGACCATCAGTGCCAACATTTCAAAGAGGTCACTATGGATCAAAGCTTCTTTGCCCAAAGCCAGCATGTGCTGTTCAACATTCCTGTGGGCAGCACTGTCTACCCCCACAACTCCTTATCCCCAGAATAGCGTTTGTCAACCAATCCATGATGTTTGAGAACTTTTTTCTTCTTGGAGAACATAAGAAATATGTTACCTAATGTAACATCCAAAGAGCAGCTGACACTTGGACACTGCTTTACAAAATGCGAAGTACACTTAGATTAGTTAAAGTGTATCTTGTCAAATGCAGAGTGATAATGTATTATGTGTTTTCTTATTTCTCAACATCATCAACTAGAACATATTTGCTTATTACTTGTACCTTACTTGAATCCAAAAAAGATTGAGGAAGTTTATAATAGATTAATATAGGTAGTCATCAAACTATTAAGGCAAAATTAGAAAATAAAAGTAACACAGAAATTAGAAAATTACACATTAAATAGAATAGATCACTTTTCCTGAAGTTTTAAGTTAGCTTGTGACTCCTAGAATTAGAAATTTTTTTAAAATATATTTTTATTGATTTTAGAGAGAGAGAAAGGAAGAGGGAAAGAGAGAGAAACATCGATGTAAGAGAGAAACATCCATCAGTTGCCTCCTGCATGCACCCTAACTGGGGATCAGGCCTGCAACCTGGGTATGTGCCCAGAGCAGAGCTGAAGACTTTTTGGTGCATGGAGCCGACACTCAACCAACTGAGCACACCAGCGAGGGCAAAAATATTTCTTGAAGACAGTTCACATCCTGCCTTTTCCTTTTTCTTTTGTATTGCATTTGATTAATTACTTAGCAAATGGACAGTTTTAACCACTATTTTTTTAATTATTTTTTTTTCTTTTCAATTACAGTTGATGTTCTAATATTATATTAGTTTTAGGTTTGCAGCATCGTTAACCACTGTTTCAGACCAAATATTCTACTGAATACCCACAGGCTGTGTGGTATAAATGTTTACCAAACCCTAAAAGTTCCAAAACAGTATAAATGCTTACTAAATGGTTAGTCTTTTGACTCATCCAGACAGCTAGAGTCTCTTTCCTCATTTAGGCTTCAATAGCTTTTAAATCATGCTTCTATCAGTATGCCACGTTGTATAATTATTTATAGCTTAACTTGTCTGTTTCTTAGAGTTCATAGTCCAGGGGAGGAGTGAAGACCTTGTCCTACACATATTGGCATCTTATGTACTTTGAGATCTCATGCACTTGAAATCTGAGAATTTGGCTTGGAGTGTTTTATTCCACCCAAATCTTGCCATTACTCTGGGTAATTCATCTCATTTTCTTGCTTTTCAGTTTCTTGACCTCATCTCTGATGACCTTCTATTTCATTACAACATATCTGCCCACTCCCATGGTCACACCCTGGACTTTGTAACCACTCAGAACTGCCTTCCTTTGGAAATAATTAATTTATATATCAGATGTTTTGCACCAAAAACCCACAAAACATATGAGTCTAAGTAGTTGTTCTTCATGGATTATTAAACAAAGCAAGTAGCAAAAACAATTCTTGAAGATATAATTATAAAAATAATTTAATAATAATCTGGGATTAAAATCACTGTATCAATAAGAACTTGAAAATAAAAGAATGAGAAGTATGTAAATAACTTAATTTTCTTATTAGTCAGGTAAGAATCAAAACAAGCTATTCAAACTGTAACAATAATTTTCAAAAATAAGTTTAAATATGATGATTAAAAAACTACCAAATTAAGTAATTAATATACTAAAGTAGGATGACTACTTTTCATATTACTGGAAATAAAAAGAGTGAAAATAGGGGGAAAAGATAATGTATAGAATAACAATTTTGTAAAAATTTATATAGGTAAGACTATAAATGATTTTCTTTTCTTCTTCAGGAAAGCAACTAATATTTACTGCAAGAAATTTAGGGAAAAACAACTATATACTCAGGCAAAATGATAAATACTTTTTAAAGTTTATTATTCTAAAATCCAAATTACTATAATTAGAAGTTTCTCTGTAATAAGTTACAGAAATATGCTCTGCCCAAGGAACAAAGATGTAAATAAAATAGGATTAACGCAAAATTAAAGTGTCTCCAAAGCTAAAAAGAGAACTCCACATTCATGCCCTTTTCACATCCACCAATTGCATCTCAGGATCATGGGTCATTGGCTGCTCTACAGAACAGATGTTCCAAATCTCAAAAATCTACCCCATTCTAGTACGTGATCTTAAAAGAAGTCATAACAAATCTGCGAAGCCCAAACTCAAAGAATCACATATGGTGTTCCTCTTCACTACGCACTTCATCTATTCATTCACAAACACTTATGCAATGCCAGGTATGGGGCATGCCATCGCACTACACTGTGCCCTCAAGGGGTGCCAAAATGACACACCTGAGTGCCTGCTGTGGAGCCACTCACAGTCCACCCAGTGTGTTTTTTAATCTCCTGAGAGACAATTACATATTCATTAGCAGAGTGGAAAAGGGAACACTTGGCACAGGCTCACAGACTGGTAATTAAACCTATGCGACTTAGTAAGTACTTAGATAAGAATGTAAATATGTACTCTACTGTCATTCTGAAAGAGAGATTTTAATCTATGCTGGGGAAAGGACCAGTAAGAAGACATAAATCAAGCCTTCTCGGTTTCCCACTTCTGTTCAAGCACAACAATGGACAGGGTGAGGACTTTGTCCGGACTCTGCTGCTCACCAGCTAATTAGTCTGCAACTAGTCTCATGAGTGCTCTGAGTGTCAACTTTCTCATTTGTAAAGTAAGGTCTGAATCACCTCTAAGGCTTCTTCAATTCTGGCCCTTAAATCTAAAGCAATCAGACCCGTCACACATTTCCTCCCCCAAAAAAAGATTAGAAAAGAGACAGCACAGAATTAAATGCTATTAAGTCTCAGTTAACAAGAAATACAATTCCCACACTTTTTATAGCCTCCCATTAGAAACAATTTTAAAAGTGGAATAATTTGCCACTACAACTAGAAAATAGGCAACTAAGAAATGCTGATTCAAACTACAAATGTTTTAAAGTTAAAATCCTTAGAATAGCTGAAGAATATGCAACTACTGGATTTTTAAGGTTTATCTGAAAAAATACAGAAAATGTTACTTCTTATAAAGTAACAATATATATAATATGAGGTACAGGGTGGGCAACACTAAGTTCACAGTTGTGAGTACAGGAAACACAGAGTTAATAAAGCTTTTGCAATAATCATAACCACATGTCTTTTTCCACACGAACAACTGTAAACCTACTTTTGCCCCACCCTGTACACTTATGTGAAAAGAAACTATGGAAAATAAATTCTAAATCAATGAAAACACTTTGTATTTTTTACAGCCCCTTGTAACAGGCTGAGATAAAGTGGGCAACATCGTACTTGTCAAATTTCCAAAGAGAGAGTCCTGAGTGGTTCCTAAGAGCGAATCTGCTCCATGGCCCTTTCTTAAACACCCTGTCTGAGCAGGTATCCGCCCCATCCCTTCTCTCCCAGCCTGAGCCTGCCGGGGATAACCATCTTTGAAATGGGACAAGTGTCACATAAGGGCAGTTCTTTACCTGATGCTAGGCAATTACCAAATGGCAGTATCATCACAGAGCAGATGAAGGTTGATTTTTTCAAAGGACAGTCTTATTACAGCAAGGTACAGTTTTCAAAAGACATAAATCCCCTGGGCCCTATTATTATGATCTCCTCAGCTGGTAAAAACAGCAGGGCGTTGTCCCAACTCAGTGTTTATTCATGGAAAAGCTGCAACAGAAGTTCAAAGAAAAATAGCTGGAGAAGTTAGGAGCGGGGAAAGGAAAGCAGGCCAACAGCACCATCATGGGCAGCAAGAGGGAGGGCCACGTCCCTTGGAAGGAGGAACAGGTAGCTCCACTAATCCTTACAGACCAAGCAGTTAGAAAGGATGGACTGAGAGAAACAGACGTGAAAGGTCTCACTTGTGGCTGCCCCTAGGTACCTGGTACAATTTTGTCCTATGAATAGAAAACTCGAAGTGTGCCCTCAGATTCTGAAATATGATATCCTCTCAAACTTTATCTGAGTTTATAAACACAAAAGAGGGCACAGATGAATTTAGATCACAATATGAGAACAAATTTAACTTCTAATGGAAACATGGTTCGAGACGGAGTAAGTCAGAAATGTCAATGTTTATCTCCACATGCATTTATTCCTGGCAATACATTGGAGTTTTCTGTAGAGTGTTTATCTAACTTGGCTTTCCTTTGATGGGTCTTCTGGCCTAGTATAGAAGCACAGCATACACACTGGCCACACGAAGAGGTAACTACATTCTCCCTGTAAAGAACTCCCAGAATCATTACGGGGAAAAGGGAACGAACTAACATATGTCAGGTATCTATTAAGGAGCTGATACTGTACAGAGCACCTGACATAGTTTGCCATTTAAACTTGTGAGCACACTGTGT